TTATTTATGTTTTTAATGAACATATAATGTATTATTTGTTTCAGGGGTACAGATCTGTGATTTATCAGTCTTAAACACAATTCACAACACTCACCATAGCACATACCCTCCCCAATGTCCATCACCCCAACCACCCCATCCCTCCCACCCGGCTCCACTCCAGCAACCCTCAGTTTGTTTCCTGAGATTAAGAGTCCCTCATAATTTGTTTCCCTCTCTGGTTTTGTCTTGTTTAATTTTTTCCTCTCTTCCCCTATGATCCTCTGCCTTGTTTCTCAAATTCCACATATCAGTGAGATCATATGATAATTGTCTTTGATTGACTTATTTCGCTTAGCGTAATGCCCTCTAGTTCCATCCACATCATTGCAAATGGCAAGATTTCATTTTTTGATGGCTGCATAATATTCCATTGTATGTGTATACCACATCTTTATCCAGTCATCTCCAGCCACCAGCTTTTTAAATTTGTTGTTGCTATTCACTAATTACTAAGATTCTGCTTTTTTTTTTTTTTTTTAAGATTTATTTATTTGACAGAGAGAGACATAGCGAGAGAGGGAACACAAGCAGGGGGAGTGGGAGAGGGAGAAGCAGGCCTCCCACTGAGCAGGGAGCCCGACATGGGACTCGATCCCAGGACCCTGGGACCATGACCCGAGCCGAAGGCAGACGCTCAACGACTGAGCCACCCAGGCACCCCTAAGTTTCTGCATTATGAAGGAAAATCCAGGCACTGATTTAGCAAAACTTTCTCCTCTTTTTTAACCAGAGGGAAGAGGAGGACTGCAAACACTCATAATCCATTATCTTATTTTTGTCACATGTTTATTTACTTTTCTCCTCCTCCTAGTCTGTTCTGGTGACTGGCACAGTGTAAGTGTCTAAGACTGAACAAATCAGTAATAATTGCATGGGTGTGTCCATACACTCTGTAGCAGAGAAGAAGCATAGGTATAACCACGTGACTTAAAGGAGGAAACGTGCTGACCAAGGAGATTTCTGTTTTTTGCGGTTTTTTTTGTTTTTGTTTTTTTTAGAGAGAGCATGGGGGGAGGGGCAGAGGGAGAGAGAGAATCTTTTTTTGTTTAAAGATTTTATTTATTTATTTGAGAGAGAGTGTGCAGGGGGAGGTGCAGAGGGAGAGGGACAAGCCAACTCTGTGCTGAGTGCAGAGCCTGATGTGGCGCTCTATCCCATGACCCTGAAATCATGACCTGAGCCTAAATCAAGAATCAGACCCTTAACCGACTGAGCCAGGGGCCCCGAAGGAGAGAGAGAATCTTAAGTGGGCTCCACGCCCAGCATGGAGCCTGACGTTGGGCTTGATCTCACAGCCCTGAGATCATGACCTGAGCCGAAATCAAGAGTCGGATGCTTAATTGACTGAGCCAGCCAGGCGCCCCTCTCTGTTTATATTTAAGTTAAGATTTGTAGGTGAGCTAATATCTTACTGGGCTGGGACGTGGGTGGGGAGAGGCATATTGTAACGAACGTTTGGATTCCATGCATAGGAATTTGGACCTCTCACTTGAGTGGAAGGGATTTCTACTTCCTGTAAAGAAGTGAAAGGAAGCTGGACCAAGTGGAGGTTGGCTTTAGGGCTGGATGAGCTAGAAGTGAGGTTAAAGATTGAAGCAATCATAGTATTCTGAGCAGTATTCAGATGAAGGTCTTCTGGATCTATGTGGTAATTGTAGAAATTAATCTAATCTCTCTAATCTGTAGTAGAGAACTAGAGAAGAATTTGAAGGGATTTGCACAGAATAACTGTCAGCAAGGATTGTTTAATCCATAACCCTTAACTGTTCCTGATAGATGTCTTGAATATAATCCTTATTGATGAATTTGCAATTTTTCCTCTTTTAGACTATTTCTATTATCCTTTGGGTGTCCAGTTACTGTGAGAGTGTCCTGCGACCATACAAATTAAATTTACAGAAAAAGAAAAAGAAGAAAAAAGAAACCAGCATCATCATGGTAATAACAGAGAAAATACAACCTGGCTGCATGCTGCTTTTTCTTTTCACTGTTTTCCTGCATATTATAAGAGAGCTTAGGATCCTGTGTACATTCAGTTTCTCTCCCCAACTTGTTTTTGTTTTTAAATTATACACCTATAGAAAAGCCGAAACACTAGCATGATGACACCCAGATATCCTTACCTAGATTCACTTGTTGATACCACTTTGCCCTGTCTGCTTTATCTTTCTCTTGCTCATCCTGTCATCTACCCCCCCTTGTTTGTTGAACTGTTTGAAAGAAAAGTATAGACTTTGCGATACTTAACAGGATAGAACAGGGCAGTCTCCTACAAAACCACAAGACTCAAATTTTCACAGTCCAGACATTAATATTGATAAAATAATATTATAATGTCCGTATTCAGATATCCCCTGTTATCCCAATTGTGTCCTTTATTATAGCCTTTTTCAAAATACTAGAATCCTATTAAGGATCTAACCTGGCTTTTAGTTCTCATGTCTTTTTACCCTCCATTAATCTAAAATACTTCCATAGCCTTTTTTGTTGAAGAGAGTCTAGCTAGGTTTTTGGTAGAATGCCTTGCAATCTGGATTTTGTTAATTATTTCTTTGGGTTTAGGTTCAACAAAAATGCTGCGTCTGTTTTAGCAAATTAAATCAGGAGGCACTAAGGTTGTTATGTCCCATTTTTGGTGCTTTCAGATTTAATTATTTGATAAAGGAAATGTCTATGGATTTCTTCATTGTAAAGGTGCCTTTTCCCCCTGTAATTATTAAGTCATCTGTAGGATGATGCTTTGAGACTGTGAATATCCTGTTCCCTTACCAGCCTTTCACCTACTGGTTTTAGCATCCACTGTTAAGTCTAACTTGCATGGATCATTTGGTACACTGATGGTTCCACAATGGTGATTTTTAAAAATTCTGTCCTTTATCACCTATTAGTTAGCATTTTTCTGTAGAATAGAGCTGTCTCACCCCCATTCATATATATATATAGTTTTTAATATTACTATTTGAGTATCATTCTTTTTAAAATTTCTCTTATCCATTATCATCATTTTGTTGTGCATGCTCAGATTTGGCTAATGGGAGTGACTTTAAGCTGGTTCCTGTCTTTGAACATGTCTTCACCAGCTTTGGAGCCCTTGTTTTCTGGAACAGCAAAATGCTCCATCCTTTTTGTTCCCTTGAACTGAACCGAGACATTTTTCCAAGGAGCCCTGCCTGGTTCCTTTATGGGGAGTGGCATTTCAAAACCAAGATCTAGGTGTTAGGTGTACTAATTGTTAATGGGGTTTCAAGTTTATGTTAGTGGAAGGAGGAAATTTATTTACTTTACACATGCAAACTCACAGAATAATCAATTCTTACTGATACCTCCAGTTTTAGTCCAACATCATAGCATTCTTCCTTCTTTTCTTTCCCTCACTCCAGTTTGTAGCTCCTTCCCCCCCCCCCCCCACCCCGGGTTTGAACCCCAGTTCCCTACAGCATCAGTATATCTATTTCACTTGTTTTATAAGAAATACTAAATAGTTTTGGAATTACATCATTATATCATTTGCATTACTAGTTTCAATAAGCCACTAAATAAAGTTCAAGTTTTTTGCAGTTTTTCTTTGTCCTTAGAATATGTTCTAGTGAATAGAAACAGTTGAGGTACTCGGTAAAAACACTGGAATTAAAAACTGAGATTATATTATTAGTATGATATAAATAAGATTCACTTATTTCTCTTTGTCTTCAGTTTTGGAGTGTCCTCCCATTAATTTTTGAATGTGTAAAACATTAACATAATTTGTATCCTTTTCATAAGGAAAGTTATTTAGGATTCATTCTGCACAGGACATGCTGTTTTATTAATGTCTGAGTTTATCCTATCATTATAAATGGGAGATTTTTCTTCACTGTAGCAACATATAGTGACCATTGTCATTTGAAAATGTTGATGGTTTTAGTGGTAATACTGACTTTGTGCATAATTCAGTAACAATTCAGGAATTCTTTAGATTTGACACTGGGCTTTGCTGGATGTTTCCATTCATTCAGAAACAAAGGGTAGTTATATTTGGATGAGGGGCTAAGTGAAGTAAACTTCTCTCTTTTTTCAAGACAATTTAACAGATCATGAATGTAAAGTTTGAAAATACAGATAAAAGTTGCTCTGTTATTCTCTTCTAATGAAAGCCTATGTTCCTAGAACATGTCGAATAGCTTGTTAGTATTTGGATTTTGGGGTGGGGGTGGTGGTGGTTTGTAGTTATTGCTTTTCTAATTTCTAAAAATGAGAACAGCTTTCCTATTTTTTTGATCATCAAAGTAACCTAAAGGTGTGAATCAAGTGAAGATCACTCATATTCCCACCAACCAGTGATCACCACTGCAAACAAACCAGAATTATGCTCTATATCTGCAACTTGCCTGTTTGTGTTTTCACTTAACAGGGTAACTTGGACATCTCTTTTGGAGATACATAGATGTATCCCGTTAACTTTTTTTTTTTAAGATTTTATTTATTTGAGAGAGAGAGAATGAGAGAGTGCATGAGCTTGCTAATGGACCAGGTTTCTTGTGTTTGTCTGATTTTTAAATTGTGTCATATGTTGCTGGGATTTCTTTGATATATTTTTTGTTCATATCTTTGCCCACGTTTCCATTTGTGGTAGTAATATTTTTCCTAATGATATATTTTAAGCTATTGGGCTCTTAACTTAATAATGTTACTAATTCTGTATCCCATATGATGCAGTTTTTTTTAGTTTTTAATTTATCTTTCAACTTGAGTAATTTTTTGGTCAACATAATAATTAAAAAAAATTTTTTTAATGGTTCTTAGCTTGGTGTAATGTTTAGAAAGCCTTTTCAATTTATTACACAAGCCATTACCTAAATTTTCTTCTGGTGCTTTGGTGGATTTTTTTAAACTTAGATATTTACTCTATTTGGAATTTATTTTGGTACTTACCTTTTATTTTGTTCATTTTTTTAATTAATTTTTTTTTAAGATTTTATTTATTTATTTGACAGAGAGAGACACAGCAAGAGAAGGAGCAGAAGCAGGGGGAGTGGGGAAAGCAGGCTTCCTGTGGAGCAGGGAGCCCGATGTGGGGCTCGATCCCAGGACCCTGGGATCATGACCTGAGCCAAATGCAGACGCTTAACAACTGAGCCACCTAGGCACCCCTATTTTGTTTATTTTTTAAAAGATTTTATTTTGGGAGCACCTGGGTGGTTCAGTTGGTTAAGCATCCAACTCTTGGTTTCGGCTCAAGTCATGATCTCATGGGTTATTGGGCTCTGTGTTCAGTGGGGAGTCTGCTTGAGATTTTCTCCATCTGCCCTTATCCCTACTCATGTGCTTGCTTGCTGTCTCTCTCTCAAATAAGTAAATGTTAAAAAAAAAAATTACTTTTAAGTCATCCCTACACCCAAGGTGAGGCTTGAACTCAAGACCACAAGATCAAGAGTTGCATGCTCTACTGACTGAGCCAGCCAGGTGCCCCTATTTTATATTTTCAGATGTCTAGCTAGTTATCTCAGTACCATTCATCCACTGCAAACCACTGTTTTGAGATGACAACATTTACGTTCCCTTATAGTCTTTGGTTTATCTTGGGACTTGTTTCCTTCCACTTTTTATCATTTCACTTATATACCAGTACTGTCTGGATTTCATGTAACTTTATAATATACTCTAATACATATGAGGGCAAGTTCCCCTTAACTGCTATTTTTCAGAATTTTCGTGACTGTTGTACCCATTTTTTTTTTTTTAAGATTTTATTTATTTATTTGACAGAGAGAGACACTGAGAGAGGGAACACAAGCAGGGGGAGTGGGAGAGGGAGAAGCAGGCTTCTGGGCTCAATCCCAGGACCCTGGGATCATGACTTGAGCCGAAGGCAGACTCTTAAACGACAAGCCACCCAGGCGCCCCATTACCCATTACTTTTTCTATTGGAACTTAGAAAACTCCATTTCTGTTATTAACATTAGAGGAAATCTCAAAGACATATAGAAAAGAAATGAAATTTTGATTCCTCTCATCTTCTTTAGTGTTCCAGAAGATTCTCAGCCTGAAGTTGAGTAATGACCAACTAAGATATTTTCTATTGGTTTTTCCATCTCCAGTTCCCCAGAGTGAATAAACCCCATTTAAAAAAAATGCTTCTCATTGTTGCTGAGTTAAGCATTATTTGGTGGCAATTAAGTTTACCGTGGTTTGAGAGACTGTCTTAATATTCAAAACTGTATCCATCCTGGTTACTATTAATAGCATTAAGTAATACTGTAGCAGGAAGTTAATATAGCTTATGAGATGTAAGCAAAGGAAATATGTTTGATAATCTTTCATCTTTTTAAAAATCTTTTTTCCAGCCACCTGTCTTCACCAGTTTCCAAGACTATGTTACTGGGCTTCAGACTTTAATTTCCAACGTCGTGGATCATATTAAAGGGCTTGAAACACATCTAATTGCACTTAAACTTGAAGAACTTATTTTAGAAGATACTTCTCTCTCACTGGTAAGAGCCTATAGGCGATCAGCAGTTAAGTTATTTGTAGATACTCAAATGTTCTTTTCTTTATCACAAGGACAAGTTAATTTCAATTCATCATCTGCTCCATATAGGACTTGTGATTGGAAGGTGCCTAGCAGCAGTGTTTTGTTGTGTCATTGGTGGTGGTGGGTTCCCCTCCCCCTTCACTTCTCCGCATCCCATTGCCTCCTTTCTGTACATTTTGGGGGTTGTTCCTTTACTGTGAAAACTGATGATTAATTAATGAGGAATACAATTAGAACTCTTCGTATTGTGAACAACAGAGGAAACCAGCCATTGAGATCCAGGGACAGTCTCCTTGAGTGAGAAGTTACCTGCTGCTGGGTTGGCTGGTTTCTTTGCTACCCCAGCAGTTATCACCTGAAAAAGAGATGCTGGACATCATAAATAATTATGTCAGTAATAATTAGGCTGGAGCGTAAGCCAGTCAAAAGGGGGAATGGAGCCAAGCATGGCATCAAAGGTACCACTCATCAGATTTCTCCTGGTAATTACTTTAGGCTAGTTTCTTAAAAAATTGTTAGCAAAATCCTTGTAAAGTCTTGCCTTTAAGATATGTATTCTTTAAAAAATTTAAATTAGTAAACTTTCAGTCTGAAATGATTGTCAGGTGAGTTAACATTCACCAGCCTAGTTGCTCTAGTGATGAAACTCCAGTCGTGAGGGAGTGCTCCCTTGAGTAGTTCGTCTGACCTGAGCTTCTGCTAGTGAGGGAGCTCCTCCACTAAGGAGAGCAGCCATCATTTCCAGCCCCAGACCTTCCCAGGAGGAGAATGAATGGAATCTTACGTGGCACACCAGTTTTAAAGATTGTTAAGCCCCTCTTTTGTAAAGCTTCAACTCATTAGAGCTATAAACAAGGGGCTTACTGTGGGAAGGGGCTCAGAGCCTTTAATAACATTTCCGAAGACTGGTTAAAGAAAGCAGATGTATTCAGAGGTGAAACTAGAAGTTTCGTTTTAGACAGTTAAGCTGTCTTTCCTATATACATTAGAATGAATATAGATTTCACTGGTGATTAGGACTAATTGATTAATTCTTTAGTATTTTTGTTTTATTTATTTAGTCTTCCTTTTTTCAAGCTTTACATTGTTTTAAAAAGTAAAATAAGCACATGGTAAAAAAAAGTGGCATAAATAAAGACTGTATAGTGAAATGTCTTCCTCCCATTCTAACACATTTCCTAGTTCGTTTCCAAGAAGGAACCATTATTGTTGGTAGTTTCTTGTACAATCTTCCTGAGTCGATAACCCAGCTACAAGCATATGATATCTCTTTCCTTCCCCACAACCTTTCACTTTTAAACACAAATGATAGCATACTATACTATAGACAGTATACAGAAGTATATAGAAATATACTGTATACTACAGAAAATAGAGAATAGCACCTCTCATTTCTCAGCCCCAGTTAAGTACCAGTCTCACCATCAGAACCATTCCCACCTCTTCCTCTTCTGTATTTCTATAACACATTTGCATCTGCCACTAGTCTTTATGACTTCTGGGCACTTGGGGAGCCAGTAAAGGCCTAGTAATTGAATTCTTTTTTTTTTTTTTAAGATTTTATTTATTTATTTGAGAGAGAGAGAGAGAGCACATGAGAGGGGGAGGGTCAGGGAGAAGCAGACTCCCTGCTGAGCAGGGAACCCAATGTGGGACTCGATCCTGGGACTCCAGGATCATGACCTGAGCCGAAGGCAGTCGCTTAACCAACTGAGCCACCCAGGCACCTCCTAGTAATTGAATTCTTGAGAAATAGGTACATCCTAGCTAGGATTCTTGCCTTCTACCTCCCACTTGCACACCCCTCTGAAAGAAGAGATACTTGATGGTCCATTTGGAACACTTTTACATATAGGGAAATATGGTAATTAGTGGTAGATTTCCAGCTATTTGACTTTTTAGGACAAACCCAAACTTACTCTCTACTCCAAACTCTCATCCCCTTTCCTGAATATTGTAGAACACTAAAAATCAAAATTATAGTATCGTTAAAAAAAAAAAAATCTTAGGGACGCCTGGATGGCTGTCAGTTAAGCATCTTCCTTCGGCTCACGTCATGATCCCAGGGTCCTGGGATCGAGCCCCGCATCGGGCTCCTTGTTCAGCAGGGAGCCTGCTTCTCCCTCTCCCTCCTGTTCCTTCTGCTTATGCTTGCTTGCTCTTTCTCCCTCTGACAAATAAATAAAATCTTAAAAAAAAAAATCTTAAAGATCACAACTGGAATGAATGTCACATCGCTTCATGTCACATGCTTCATTGGGCTTTGCTGGGTACCTTTGAGATTGTTAATATAAGTTTATTGAGCTTGCTGTTTTGGGTAAATGCTCATAAAATACAGTGATCAAAAGACCTGGCTGTAACTCTGGAAAACAGTATGGAGGTTCCTCAGAAAGTTGAAAATAGAGCTACCCTATGACCCAGCAATTGCACTACTGGTATTTACCCGAAGGATATAAACACAGTGATCCGAAGGGGCACGTGCACCCCAGTGTTTAGAGCAGCAATGTCCACAATAGCCAAACTCTGGAAAGAGCCCAGATGTCCATCAACAGATGGATGGATAAGGTTGATGTGGTATAGCTATACAATGGAATACTACTCAGCCATCAAAAAATGAAATCTTGCCATTTGCAATGATGTGGATGGAACTAGAGGTATTATGCTAAATGAAATAAGTCAATCAGAGAAAGACAGTTATCATATGATCTCACTCATGTGGAATTTAAGAA